TATAGTGATTTTTGTCATAGCAATTTAAATACTCCTCTACTCACATTTCATGTCTCTTCTTTTTGAAAACAATGTTTCTGGTGATCCGATCTTGACGATGTTTTACAATTTTGCTTTGACTCTTAGCAATATCATGTCCCTGGCTTGGCTACCGGGATCTCGCAGGTAAGTTCTAGTTCTTTGCCTTCTGGTTTCTTCACTGTTCTCTTCTCAGAAGGTCATCCTTTCTATAGGGACTCATCTGGAGCTTCTTTCGGCATCGCAACTCTTTCTTGAAACCAGAGTTATGTGATTTTAAAGGGAAAACATGCAATTGTAATCACAATCATAATCATAATTGTGATCATTGTTACTCTTCAAAGTGTCGATTGGAGATTCTACTATCATTTTTAATCTTCAAACATAAATATTGCTCGACGAGAGTTAATCATAACATCGTCGGATATCATTTCCTGACTTTTTCTTAGTTTCTTCGCTAACCGGTGATATTCATTTGTAAAGATTTTGCCAGAAGCTTGATTTTTAAGGGAAGTGAGGTCTTTGAAGAACTTGTAATTAATGTCATCCTTTCTTCACCATTCTAGGTCGTGGCTCCAGCATTTTTTTACACCATCCAGCATCTCTCGGGGTTGATGTCGTATGGCCAGTAGGTCTTTTCTTTGGTTTATTTGGGGGAATAGATCATCTCTTGTTCTTTGTTTCTCTTCTTTGGGCAGAGGTGGTGAATTCTAATCATTACAGTATCATTAATTAATTTATTTTTTTTTATATTTTAATTTTTTAGGGAAGAATATTAATATACCTAAAATTTCAAAAGAATTTTCGCATTTTGTTATAGCAAATCGTACAGATTGAATCTGATAAGATTTGAGGCTCATACTTACGGTACAGATTTCCATACGAGAGAGCTATCAATGCGTTCTGTAATTCTGGTACATACACTGGCACCAAGACTTTTTTCCTCTTGGTTTTGAATATATCAACGTTTATGGACCAATATTAATAAGAGTTGGGATGTTATTTAAAATTATTAATAAAAATGTAGATGCTTTGGAAAACTTCAAAAGATTATTAAACGTGATGCGATTAAGTGGTCACAAGGTATTTTGTCTCTTAAAAAGTTATCAATTATAGTATTTTTCATTAATTTTTCTAAAAATAACCATACCTCCAATATTATCTCCTATTAGTAATAACTTATTATCAATTTTATCAAACGATTTTTATATATAGAGATCAATCAAATTATAATAGGATTAAACATTGTTAATGGTAGTAAATAAACGTAAGTGGAAGAAAGGAATAAAAAGAATGAGTAGTATAAAGTAGATAGGTATAGGTTAAAAGGAATGAATTATAAATGAGTTGTAAATAAATATAAGTATATGAGAAAACAAAATCGATGATAGAGAAAATAGATAGATTAGAAGAAATAAATATATATAGGAAAGTGTAATTAGGGAATGGTTTAGAAAAAATAAGTCCAGGCAAAGATTTTAAATAATTATTATAATATAAAACATATGATTATAATTGTTTTTTTTTACTTATGGGTTTTGTAAAAATGAGTTAGAAGAAACAAATGTAGTAAGGGAAAAGTTCGCTTCTTTAATATAAAATATTCTTTTATAAAAATCTGATATAAAAGTTCTTTGTATCAATTGATTTATTTATTCTATTATCTATATACAATATATACGTGCTACATATCAAAAACAAAAAAAAAACAAAAAAAACAGCATTTATAATTCTTTTTTATTTCCAATCAATATCATATTCCGGTTGTTCTTCATAGTTTAATTCTTCATTAATATCAAAGTTATCATTACTAAAAATATTTTCTTCCTCATCTGTAATATTATCATCATCAATATTTAATAAACGATCATAATCAAAAATTTGATCATCTTTGGATTTATCTCTAGTGACTGAAATTCCACAACATTTAAATGATCGAGCTATTAAACCTGAATCTACATCTGACCATGCATAACTAACCCATTCTGCTAATGTAGCATAGCTAGGTTTCTTAATCCGACCTATTGCAGTATATACCAAATCATCCCGATTCATCCAGTTATTATAATATTCACGAACCTAAATAATAAATAACGTTTTTTTAATTAAAGTAATTAATGTTTAAAGTTAATATAATAAATACAAACTTACCTTCGCTTTAAAACTCTTGTTAATCACAACATCCAATAGTTGAACTCTAGAAGTAAGACCTCCAGGAATAATAGCAATATTTGTTGCTTTTTCTGTAAGACGGTTTTTTACTGAATCTACCAAATGGTCTCGAAATAAATCCATTATTAAAAGAGATCTTGAATTTCCAAGCATGTTTCTAGTTGTCCAGACATTATCTACCCACCATAGCATCATTTGTTCATTCATATATTCTTTTTCATTAAATTAAATTTTTATATCGGAAGGAAAATTTTCTTGCGGCTTATTTTTTAATTTAAAAATGCATATAGGAGATAATTTCGTACCATTAGCTATGCATGCAAGTACAACAGTAAAATTTGTTCTTTCGTGACCACTTGTTCGAATACTAACAGTGTATATGCTGGTAAGATCAAGAGTAATACTATAGAGAAGATCAAAACTCATAGAAGTTTTATCCATATTTCCAATAAATCGTAATTTGTAATTATATTGAATTCATTGATATAATACAAAACTTAAAAAATTTTGTTGTTTTTCATTTAACTCTTCTGATAAATATTGAGCTATATTGGTATGACGGCGGTTAGAAAGTTTTCGTCTATGTATAAAACCATCAAACCACTTATTAGAAAATTTAAAATTTTGAATTTTTGGATATAAATCTTGATAATGTTGTTTTGCAACTAAAGTTTTAGCTTTTCTAGTTACACTTCTTCGAGTAATAGTCTTGACATTATTTCTCATATTAATAATCCAATTATATAATTCATTTTCTAAAAGTGGTAAGTGGGGTTTTTTGCCCAAATGAAGTTTTTGAATAAAAGGAGAAACAGCTTGTAATTGTAATTTTTGATTTTTTCACTTACGAACTTGTTTCGGTTGAATATCAAACTTTTTTGCAGTTTCACGATTATTTTGTGATTTTTCAGCATAATGAACAATAAGTAATTTTTCTCGAGCAGTTCAAGAATGACGTGATTTTGTAGTAATATGTGCTCTTTTAAAACTTTTACTAGCTCTAATAGGTATTATTGATTAAACTTGATTAAAACATAATTAAAACACGATTAAAACATGATTAACGCAAAACACATTTTTAATCTTTTTTATATAATTTATATTTCCTACTATAATACCTCCTACTCCAATTATAGTATCCCTCTAACTATAATACCCGTCTATTTAAATTAATTTGTAAAATATCCAGAATATTTTAGTCCACGCAGTACGGTATTTTTTTTTTTTAATGTAAATGGGCATTAAATATGTGACGTTTATTAAACTTTTGATTTATAGTCAGTACATTAAGAATACTATTCATTTGTGAGAGTTAATCCTAGCCTATCACATTTTTATTCAAATATCAACTTACACCTCATGTGTGTGTCCATATTTAATTATTTATATTTTAAATAATACATAAATTATTTTTGTTTAAGATATAAATTTAAAATTAAAAATATAAAATATATATTTAAGTATATTAAATCTAAATAACAAATAATTCAAATAATTAAGAGTATAAATAATATATTTGTTCAGATTATAATAAAAAACCAATTGATTATATATGGCAAGTAGTTAAGCTATTCTATAAATTCATTAACAAAAATATTTATTATAACTAATATTAATGACCAACCCGGTCATAGTCCAGTGGGCTAAGGCGTCAGGGCAGGTCCTTAAGGTCCACGGTTCAATTCCTGCT